CTTCTTCTTGCAACTGATGGGGAGAAGGAGAATCGATGTTTGGGAAAGTGTTACGTCGGGGGGGGGGCAAGTTGCAGTACATGATTCCCGTTCAAAGTGCTAGTTCAGAGGTATGAAGGTTGAAAGTGAGGACTGTGCAACGTGAATGCAGGTGAGAAGGACGTATATGGGTAGTGTCAGTGTTAAAAGAACTTGGAAGCCAGATGAATTTTATATAGAAAGTGAAAATGGAGGCGTCAGCTCTTCTTGAGGTGATTCATAGCATAGGCTTCGGCTATGCGGTCTGCTGTAGGTTTGCAGACCCTTGTCACTGTCTGAAGGTACTTTGTCTACTGTGCAGCCTTCACAAGGACTAGATTGCAGCAGTAAAAGCTTTCTTGGCTTAAATGCTTCTGGGAATGTTATTTACACTTTCCAGAAGTTAATTGGAAACATCTTAGTTGTCTTCTGTTTTGTGAACTGATTAAAATTTGTTCTATTTCTTTTTATGTTGTGTATTGCCTTGCACAAAGAGAGAGCCTTTTTGTAAGACTCTCCTCCCCCTCGCCACCCAGTTCTGATTGCTTGAAAATCAGATTGGTAGTGTAGCTGTTTGAAAACTTTGTGATTAGGTGAGGACTTTTAGAAAAGTGTCACACTTTTAAGAATGTATGTCTTTTTTTAATTTCCACTTAGACTGTGATTTTTTTTTTTCTTGACTGTAAGACAGTAGTTGAAGTAAGAAATGATTATAGTCTTTAGAGAGATGATTTGTAATCCTTGGGTTCCTGGAGGTGGCTTGAATGTTGCAGTCTTGCCTTTAAAAAGGAAGAAATTATATATGCATGGAGATATGACTCAGTTCAGATGAGAGCATTTTGAAGGCAGCAGCCATAGAAATCTAAAAATTTGAAGCCTCATAAAAAATTAGTGAGGTTCTGATGGAAGTAGATAAAAGTGAATAGCTCATTACTTAAGTGTATTATTTTTAGAGAAAGCAGGAATCTGCATGAAACAGCATGTGCTGTCTGGACATAATTTGGTCACACCTGATGTCTTCTACAGTTTTGAATTTTATGTGATTTTGTTTTCGAGAGGTGGACATGAGCTAAAGAAAAATAACACAGACTGAAGAGACTGTATGTATGTAGTTGATAGCGTTATTTCTTACACTTCTTTGAAATAGTCATGCTTTGTATCTATGTACAACAGGTCTTATGCAATTTATGAAAGCTTTCCCAGTTGATGCATTATTTAGGATTACATTTCATGTTTGCACATGTGAAATAGGCAGTTTCAAAAAAAACGACAAACGCTGCAATTTTTGCCTGGCTTTCCCAGGCCTGAAACCCCAGCCTACAGTACCTCTCTGTTGTACGTTTGAAAGCTACTGTTTTCAGCATTGGAGTTAGAAACTGGTTTTGAGACGTATTCCGGAAGTAGTAGAATGTACTTGTGAGGACACTGGAAGTGCAGGCAGCTTTTATGCGTGTGCAGTTCTGCCAGCTGTGGTCTTGCTATTAGATGTGCTAAGCTATAGTAAGGACAAGCAAGGAAAAGGAAGCGTGGTCATACCTGTAGTCCAAGTGGTATAACTTAGAAATTATGTAAATGTAAGATAGTATGAATTATAAGAAAAGACTGAGATGAGATAGACTGGCTGGCATAGATTTTCAGTAAATCTTTGTGTTTTTTAATTGACTGGGTATCAAGCAGCAACAATAAAAACATCTCATCTGCAAACTACACTGGAGAGAAAGGCAGGAGCGGTTAAAACTAGCTGAATATGTGAAGATCTGGATTGGACATCTGAAACTGGACCGCTGGTTAGGTGTACAGCTCAGAACATTTTACTGGACTAGGCATTTTTCAGTAGCTTGTTGATGAGTCCGGGTTTGATTCTGAATCACAGAATAGGTTTTTCTGGTAATGATAATAATTCATAATGTGGTCTACTGTTTTCCAACACAATAAAAGCGTAATTGAAAATAAAAGAAGGATGTGAATCACTAAGGTAACTAATAGATACCTTTTATTGGTCATGTTCTAAAGCAGTAGGAGAAAGTTCTGGAGTTGAGGAGAAACAGCAATATGCGGTTGCTGCTGAAAGTATCTATAAACCAATCTATCTATAAACCAAGTATCTATGCATCTTTATAGCTATATAAAGCTAAGAAGAGCTTTTTAATGATTTTTGTCTTGGACCTCTCAAGCGTTTTACTTGAAAGTTGGAGTTCAGTCGACAGTTTGCCCAACAAGTTTGCAGTTTGTGCCTCTTATTTATTTTGCCTACTCATTGGATACTAATTCATCTTATTATATATG